AAGCTCTTGATACATGATTTGTGCACTATACTCTGCGTATACCCTAATACTAAAGTAAAAATATTAAAATGCTGGAGATAAACAACTGTATAGAAAAATATTCACATACTTTTAAAGTGTAAAAAGCAGGTCAGAAAGTATCAAAAGGAGTTCAGAATGGAGAGTATGATCTCATTTTTTTCATTCGCATTTAAACAGAGTGGAAAACATGCCATATGTCAGAGTCACAGGTGCAGCTCTCTTGTTATTCGTTTAGCAATAACTAGAACTGCTTGGATTCCTGTAGGACAGAAGTGGCTTAGACAAGAGTATAGTTCAATGTGACTAGGGAGCAGATAGCAAGGAAGGGTGTACCAAGGGTTAAAAATGAAAACAGAGTGCCAGGTAGGGATCAATTTGTTAAGGGTTTGAACGCTATGGAATGGAATCAGGAAGTAATTTTAGAGGTAAGATGCTGCCATTTGATAATTATGTTTCTTTATTAGATGGGAGGGTAGTAAGAGGTTCAAATGACAACAAACTGTGAATTGAGTTTTAGGGGGAGATTATCTGTTTTTGTTTATTACTGGAGAGATTAAAAATCCTCTCTGAATTTGCCATAGGAAGTACCCATCTACGACAAATAACATGAAACTTTTCTGGGAAATAGGCTCTACGAGAGCAAGGAACTCCAACAGATCTGACCTCAGTCACACCTTTGTGGTAGCTCGAAACATGGTGCTGTTTTCCACAAGATTCTCCCAAGGAATGAATAGCACACACACCACCCACTTCTACCTTGTAGAATGTGCATGTTCATTTGTGTTAGCGTTGATCTCTTTGGCCCAGTTTGGCCTTATCCATAGTCCTAAACTACTCTGCTAATATAGAAAGCACTTAGGATGTAGAAAATGAGAGAGGTGAGTGAAAGCAGTGGCCTCTGAACAAATTCCATGGCACAGGATTACTGAACAATATTCATTACCCCTAAGAATTAAAGGAAGGATTTCAATTGTAGCTGAAGATGGCAAACCCTATATAATTCTTTTTCCTCTTTCCAATGCCCTACTGAGTTCCTTGACGGTTGAGGGCTATGATACAGCTATCTATGCTTTAGCCCAACTATTTTGGTAGCAGAAAATAAACAAGCTGACTCCTCTTCCTGGCCAAAATGTTGGCATCATGCATCCCCAAACACACATGTGCACTTGCACACAGACATGAACAAACCCCTGAATGAACAGGCCCTATTCTAATGTTGCCATCTCTACCCTTAGAGGCTCCAAACAGTTCTGACATCCTTCTGAAACAGAAAACCCAATTCTTCCCATCTAGTCACTTTCATTCTCATTTCCCACCCATCCTAGCATATTCTGGCTCTAGCTACCCTGGGTGACTGGATGTTTTACAAACTTATTTTGTGCTTGACACCTCTGGGCCATTCCTGTTGCTGTTCCCTTAGGCTAGAATCCTCTTATAAACCACAAATCCTTCCCATTCGTTTCATCACTTAGAGATCAAATCCTCTTTGAGCCTTTCTGGGCAATTGCCCCTGCACCAAGACACCCAGATTAAGCTATAGTTCCTTGCTTGCTCCTTCTTCAATGTTTGTACCATATGTTGATTGGCCCTCTATTAGAGCACTCATTCCCGTGTATTTTGTATGATCCATTTTAAATAAACAAGGCTATAAATTGAAGGTCAGATGGTGCAACAGAGAGTAGTTATGCTTGAGATTCTGACACCACAGTTCAAACTCTGGTCTTTCTCAATTGTTTCTGGCCAATTTTAGACAAGTAAATTCACCTTCTTCACACAGTTTGCTCATCTGTAAAATGAGGACCATAAAGAGTAGCTACAAGGGGTGGGTGCTGTGGCTCATTGGGTTAAGCCACTTCTTGGGATAACTGCATCCCATACTGGACAATGTGCCAGTTCAAGTCCTGTCTATTCCACTTTCAATCCAGCTTCCTGCTGATGCATCCTAGGAAACAGTAGGTGATGGCTCTAGTACTTGGGCTCCAAACATCAATGTAGGAGACCCGAATGGAGTTCTGGGCTCCTGGCTTCAGCTTGGGCCAGCCCTGGCTGTTGTAGGTATTTGGGAAGTAAATCGCTCTCACTCTCTCTCACTCTTTCTGCCTTTCAAGTAGATGATAATAAACGTGACTAATATATAAAGCTACCAGGGCAGATTTGTGGCATGCAGTTAAGTTGCTAATTGAGACACCAGTATTCTGTATCAGAGAATCTGGTTTGAGTCCCAGCTACTCTATTTCCAATCCAGCTTCCTCCTGATGTGCACTCTGGGAGGCAGCAGTGATGGTTCAAGTACCTGGCTCCCTGCCACCCATGTAGGAGAACCTGACTCAGCTCTGTGCTCCTGGCTTCAGCCTGGCCCAGCTGGGGCTGCTGTTGGCATGTGAGGAGTGACACAGCAGATGGAAGATCTCTCTCCATCTGTCTCTCTTTTCTCTGTCTGCTTTCTAAATAAGATGCAAATAAACAAATAAAATGTAAAAGAGTTGCTGTCTTACAGAAAGGATTAAATGGTTTAGTATGAGGAACATGAAAGCACCAGAAACAGTGCTTGGAAAGAACTCCATAAGGGTTAGCTCTCATCATTTTTCACCATTTTTTAGACCTACCCAAGAATGTGTCACGTGCAAAGAATCATTACGTTCATCCTGTGATATGCCCCTAAAACCCAGCACTGTGTCTGGCATATGGCACATGCTCAAGAAACATCTGTGGAGTGGGTGGATGCATTAATGAATCTACAAAATAATTCCCAGCAACATCCTCCTCCCAATTCTCTGAATCCTCTGCTGGCTATTAGCACAGAAAAACTTTAACTGGAGTGTCACTGAAAACATCCTCATCCCTTGATCCCTTGGCTTTATCCCTGTCACCCCCTTTCTTGAAGCTTCTACTCTAACGAATCCAAGTCCAGTAACAACCACTTGCTTTATCTCTGTTTCTCCCTTTCTTGACTTCTCTGTTCTAACAAGTTCGAGTCCAGCAGCAACCACTTTACCAGCCTCTCCGGCGCGGCAGAGGTGGCAGACGCGAATGGAAGACTGGGAGTGGGGCGTGGCCACCACGTCGCAGAGCCCGATTGCGCCTGCGTAGGCTGCGGCAAAGCCAAAAGCGCTCGGGCTTGCGGTCTTTGCCGTCTAGTGCTTATGTAGAAAGATCGCTCTTCTTACCAGCTCTCATTTCTGATCCGCCCCGCTCCCGAGTCTCGCGCTTCGGCTTCGCGCCGAGGCGCCAACACACCTACCGTCCTCTCTCCGACGGATCGCAGACCTCCCAGTTTCTGCTCCTGACTCCTGGAACCATGTCTCTGGTAAGCCAGAATGCGCGCCACGGCAGCGCAGAGACCACCGCAGATTACAGCGACGGCCGGGGTGAAATGCAGGTTACTAACATCTCCGGGCCCCCCACCTCCATGCTAGTCTCCGATGCCCCCCAGGACCCTCAGGGTGCCAGCGCTTCCCAGGCTGCACAGGACCCAAATGACCTAGAGGTCCTAATTGATGAGCAATCCCGACGTTTGGGGGCGCTCAGGGTCCACGACCCTCTAGAAGACAGATCGATTGCTTTGGTGAATTTCATGCGAATGAAAAGCCAAACCGAAGGGTCTATCCAGCAATCAGAGATGCTGGAGTTTCTCAGAGAATACTCAGATCAGTTCCCTGAAATCCTCAGACGAGCTTCAGCTCACTTGGATCGGGTCTTTGGGTTGAACCTGAGGGTTCTTGATCCTCAGGCTGACACCTACAACCTAATCAGCAAACGAGGTCCCCAGACCACTGAGAGGCTAGTAGAGTCCCTGGACATGCCAAAGGCAGGTCTCCTGGCCCTGGTCCTAGGCCACATACTCCTGAATGGCAACCGGGCAAGGGAGGCCTCCATTTGGGATCTGCTGCTAAAAGTTGATGTGTTGGATGAGCCTCAGAGGGTTAACAACCTCTTTGGAAACACAAGGAACCTCCTCACTACTGACTTTGTGCACATGCGATTCTTGGAGTACTGGCCTGTATATGGCACTAATCCCCTCGAATTTGAGTTCTTGTGGGGCTCTAGAGCCCACAGGGAAATCACAAAGATGGAAGCCCTGAAGTTTGTGGCACAGGCCCATGATGAAGAACCCTGGAACTGGCCAGAAGAATATAACAAGGCCCTGGAAGCCGACAAAGCCAAAGAAAGAAGCCAGGCTGCTGGCTTAGAGTTCTGGTCAGAGGACACTATGAATGATAAAGCAAATGATTTGGTTCAGTTGGCCATTAATGTCACTGAAGAGCTGCTTCCTATACATCAGGATGAGCTATTGGCTCACACTGGCAAAGAATTCGAGGATGTGTTCCCAAATATCCTTAGTCGAGCCACCCTAATCCTTGATCTGTTCTATGGGTTCTCTCTGATTGAGGTTGATACCAGTGAGCACATCTATCTCCTTGTCCAGCAGCCAGAATCAGAAGAAGAGCAAGTGATGCTAGAGAGCCTGGGGAGACCCACTCAAGAATATGTGATGCCAATCCTGGGTTTGATCTTCTTGATGGGCAACCGTGTCAAAGAGTCCAATGTGTGGAATTTGCTTCGAAGATTTAGTGTGGATGTAGGGAGAAAGCATGCCATCACCTGTAAGCTTATGAGACAGCGCTACCTGGAATGCAGGCCTCTTTCCTACTCTAACCCAGTTGAATATGAGCTTCTCTGGGGTCCTCGAGCTCACCTTGAAACCACCAAAATGAAAGCCTTGGAGTACATGGCCAGGCTCTACAGAAAGCGACCACAGGACTGGCCAGAGCAATATAGAGAAGCTGTGGAAGATGAAGAGGCCAGAGCTAGATCTGAGGCAACTGCCATGTTCTTCTTTGGCGCCATGTGAAGTGCTGGAAAGATGTATCACTTCACCTGAGTGGTAACAGTTAAAGGGGCCTTGGGGAAATGGGTACTGGAGGCCCAAATCAGAAGTTGGGGGAGAGTTGGGTTAGGGAATACACATTGTGTTTGTTATCTGTGTTCCAGTTCTAAAAGTATTTCCTTCCTTTTAATATGCCCTTGAATTAAGTTCGTGACCAGTGTTTATAAATGAAATTTCTCATTTGCCATCCCTGTCTTGTTTAAGTACTGAAGTTCAGATAGTTGTGTAAATGTATTGGTAATATGTATATTTTTGAAATAAGCAGTAAAATGATCTGGTACAGGAGTTAAACAATAACAGAACACACAACAAAAACAAATACAAAACACTGCTTTGTGGTTGTCTTCCCTTGTGTGTACTATTGTGTGTGTATATATATATATATATATATATATATAAAAGACTGACATTTACCTGTATTTGTTTTGCTGTTCCAGAGTGTAGTGAAAAATAAAAAGCATAATGAATTAGACACCACGCTTATATTCTCATTTATTCCATAAACCATTATTAAGCACCTGCCATGCTCTGGAACACAGTGCTATATGCTGGGAATAGATAGGTAAAGAGAGCCCAGCTGGGCCTCAGGTTTAAGAGGGAAGTAGTGGGGCAGGGCATGGGAGTAAACCAGCAATTATACTATGCTATGACAAGTGGTATAATAGAGGTAAGAAATTGGGCTGTGGTGGGGATGTGCTATGAGAGTCCATAGGAATAACTCTCGACTTTAGGTGCTGGAAAGGAGAGTGGAGAAGGTGATGGGGGCCAAAAAGGGCTTAGGAGGATGCAAAGATATCAAGCAGGGGACAAATGGTCAGAGGTAGTGGTGGACAGGATGAGGTGGTATAGAGGAATGGGGACAAAATGTGCTTTAGTGACATCTAATGTGGAACCTGAGGTTGGAAGAAGGGAGGGAAGGAGGCAAGGACTTGGTGAAGACAAAGGCAGTGTGTAAAATGTCCTCAGAGTATTTGAAAGTAACTCGGACAATGTTAAGTTCAAGGGGTAGGGAGAGTGGGAGAGATGGGCCTGCAGCAGAGGTAATAAGGGCTCATATCCTCAGAGAATGGCTCTGGGGACTCTGTAACGGCTATCCTGAAGGCAGCTGGTGTTGGATCTTGAGTCGGACCGAACGATACACCTGCAGGAGCTGTGCATGGGATCCTCTGCCCGCGCAGTTTATTTCAGCAGCCAGGCTATTAAGGTGTTAGTATTCTGGCTCTCTTCATCCTGATTCCTCTCAAAGTTTCTAACGGTGCTCCTGGCTCTCCCCAAGTTCCATAGAGAGCTGGCAAGCAACAATTTCTAAGAGGCACCCCTGGAGCAAAAGTGGATATCATATTCAAAGTCGCCTCTGCCTACCAGTAGTGTAGGTTGTATGCCCCCTCACCTTCTGGCACCCACAAGCTTTCTGCCCTTTGCATCCATTTAAGCACAAGGGGCATCTCCAACTGCCACTTCTTACCAGATGGGGGAGAGCTGGAAGACATGCGTCAGTCTCAGGAAGAGAACGACACAACCGTCTCGCACTGGAGGGCTGGGCGTCAGAAGCGGGGCGGCGGGGGGGGGGGGGGGGGAGATCCTCCCTTTCAGCCCCCTGGTCTGGCGGGCGGCAATGCAAAAGCGTAGTTAGAACGCTCGGCTTGGTAAGGTCACTGCGCAGGCGCACTCCGCGGTTGCCGGGGCGATCCAGCCTCCGCTAAGTCTCAGTGGTCGCCCCTAGAGTCGCATTCCAAGAAGGGACGCTTAGGGCGGGATTTCCGGTGATGAGAACAGGAGTAACTGGAGAGCCTGATCTCTGGGTTCTGGAAAATGGGGTGGGGGTAGAGTTCTAAGGCGAGACAGAATCTAATTCAAAATCTGGGAACTTGGGGCGGGGTTCTGCCTGCGCGCTAACCCGATAGCCTCTCATCTTTCAGCCTCCTTAGACCCTTAATCTGTAGACGCCTGTGGAGCAGGGCAGAGATGGGGACAGAAGATTAAGGCGCCAAGTTTTTCTTGCTCTTTTTGGATTGGTGCAATTTCTGGGTCCGCCAACAGCCCTTCAACTCTTCTGGGGACTCCGTAGAAACTTGCCAAAGGGAGAGAAGATGTAGCACCTGGTCAACAATCATTAAAGTAAAGCTGCACTTGGTTAAGCACAAAATATGTGCCAGGCACTCTGCCAAATTCTTTATGTCCTTAGCTCTCACCATTGCATCAGTTCTTCAAGAGGTATTTTAATAGACCCGTTTGGGGGCTGGCACTGTGTCATAGCAGGTTAAGCCACAGCCTGCAGTGCCAGCGCCAGATTCAAGTCCTAGCTGCTCCTCTTCTGATCCAGCTCTCTGCTGTGGCTTGGGATAGCAGTAGAAGATGGCCTAAGTCCTTGGGCCCCTGCACCCGCGTGGGAGATCCAGAAGAAGCTCCTGGATCCTGGTTTTGGATCGGCGCAGTTCCAGCCGTTGCGGCCATCTGGGGAGTGAGCCATCAGATGGAAGACCTCTCTCTCTGTCTCTACCTCTCTCTGTAACTCTGCCTTTCAAATAAATAAAATAAATCTTTAAAAAAAAAGAAATGGAGGATAGCCCTATGTCACAGATACTGTATGCCATTTCTTAGAAATGATAAGAGTAAGACTTGTGGGACATGCTTATGGTAAGATAGGATGTAGTCTCTCCATAGCCATGGCCATTCCTTCAAAGGCCAAGAGAGGCCTGGGAACTCATCCTCCTCCAAACACTAATTAATTTAGAATTAATTCCTCCTAGAAGAATCACTTCAGAGTGGAAATGAGTGTCTGGTAACCAAGATGTTCAGAGGATGCTGCATGAATTACTCCAATGCACAATCAGAAAAGATGGGTGGTTAGGGAAGCCTTTTCTCATCCTTTCTTTCCATTAGATTCTGTGTACACATGCAAGCCATCCACAAATAAACAGACATCCAGGGAAAAGCTGAGCTGGAATGGCATATGTGGATTGCAAGGCAATTCCTCCAGTTCCAATGATTGCTGTTGTTAAACCCTCTGATTTTGATAATCTAGACCAGTCCATAAACACCTTAGACAAAGTACTTGTAGACAAGGAATCTATAGTCTCTTCCCTTCCTAGAGGGGTTCTCTAGACAGGGATATTTCACAGAGAACAGGATTTCTCTTCTCCCACAATGAATACTCAGCAATGTGTAAAAGGATTCTCTGAATTCAGGCAGGGTTTGAAGCTCATTGCAAAGAATGTTGGAAAGAAAAAGTGCACCCTGAAACACTTTTGTTTTAAACCCCACAGGAATAATCCAAATGCTTGATAAGGTGGGGGCAGTACATTAGAAAAATAAAGAAATTTGAATTCTGGACAATATGGGCTCTGTCATTAGCTGTGTGGCCTTGGAGAAGTTACTTAAGAACTTGTTCTAGATCACTTAAAGTTGTTTACAAGAAATTGATCAAAAAGCTCAAGGTCACATATTTACTATTTGAGGATGTCAAAACTGTAACCCAGGCCAATTGTATCCTGGTCTAGTTATATTTCCATGCTATACCACTGCTTTTAAGACTGATCCTTGTCCATACCATGGTGGCTGCATTCAAATGAATACCATGTCCTTGGAATTCCTAGTTTGCTTTCTTTAATAAATACTTCAGGTAAATATTAATGCTAGATGATTATGAGTTATTGAGGTTTAGCTGCATCTTAATACACTCTTTACAGATACCCATCCACAAGACATTATGCTGGGGGCTTATGGGTGATTCCTTTAAATACATGTGTGCCTAAAGAAACCACCTGCCTTACTTACCCCTCTGGGGTTCCCAGTCAGCGACAATGACTTCCCTTCTAAGGGAGCAGGGTTAGGGCAGGAGTTGAGAGCTGAAAACTCAGGTCTGAGCACCCTGCCTCACACAGTTCTCCTGAGAGCACTTGCTTTGACATGGGCCAAACAGTATAAGGCCTCTGTCCTCCGAGTGCTGACTTCCCTCAAAATACTGAAGAGAAGGAGGATGAAGAAAGGGAGGACATAAGAATAGCCATTTCTGCTGAAGCTGTCCTCATTCTGAATTCTCAATCTGCTAACTCAGGAAAAAGTGTTCATTGCTCCGGTCAATGAGGCAGACCACTCTGAGATCCAGCTGTGGAGAGGTGGTTGCCACAGGACTGCACACCTTTTTCTGGATTGGGGTGGTAATGCAAGGCCTGGGGAGGCGAGTAGGGAAAAGGGGCTTTGGCACACTTTGTAACATTAACCACATATATAACATCTCCTCACATAAGTATGCTATGAATAGTCTCATAGTTACTAATAGGTGAGAACGGCAGAACTCTTGGCACATAGCTCTGTCCAAATCCCTGTACTAAGAGACTTAACCAACCTCTAGCATGGCTTCTAGTAGCAAAAGGCCAGATCCCTAGGGTTAACCTTGGCCTCTCCTAAAAATGACTGCCTGAGAAAGTTCAAAGCTGTCAGGAAAATTCACTGTTTAGCCAACACCTGATGATAGGACCTTGACCTCCTTTCTTTACAGCACTTACTAAGAATGGAATACTGCTGTAAATATCTGTCTCTTACAACTTAATGACCTTGGAGCCATTCCTTTGACACATAATCATCTAGAGGGATAAGGCCTTTGTTTTTTGATCTCTGCGAGAAGACAGAATCCTAACTCTGTGAACTGCCACTCAACAAACACAGCTGGCCTCACTGTACTTACACTGATCAAACCTTTATCATGTTCACTTCTCTGGCTCTACTTGAGTCCCTCTCCTCATTCTCCCTTTACTTTTTTACAAGTTTTATTTATTTATTTAAAAGGTAGAAAGAAAAAGATTTTCCATCTGCTAATTCACTCTCCAAATGCCTGAAGCAGCCAGGGCTGGGTCATGCCAAAGCCAGGAGCCAGGAATTCCATCTGGGTCTCCCATGTGGGTTGCAGGGACTCAAGTACTTGAGCCATCCATCATGTGCTACTTTGCAGGTGCATTAGAAGGAAGCTGAATCAGAAGTTGAAACAGGACTTGATCCCTGGCATTCCAACATGTGATGTGGGTGCCCCAAGTAGAAGCTTAATTCACTGGTACCACAACTTCCACCCTTTCTTTATTCCCCCTTTAAAATACCTAACAGGGCCAGTACAGTAGATTCAGGCACTGTCTGCAGTGCTGGCATCCCATAGGGGTGCCAGTTTGAGTTCCAGCTGCTCTACTTCCAATCCAGCTGCCTGTTAATGCTCCTAGGAAAGCAGCAGAAGATGACCGAAGTGCTTGGGTCCCTGCCATCCATGTGGGAGACGTGGGAGACTTGGATGACAATCCTGGCTCCTGGCTTCAGCCTGGCCCAGCCTGGGGCCAATGTGGCCATTTGGGGAGTGTACTAGCGGATAGAAAATTTCTCTCTCTCTCTCTCTCTCCCCTCCCTCTCTATAAATCTTCCTTTTAAATAAATAAATAAATCTTTTAAATGCTCAAAACATCTCTGTACAAAGTGGAATTGTGATCA